GATATGAGTGTTTCTGATGAAAATAAAGAGATTTTAACTATTGAAATTATAAACAAAAAATCAAAAAACCTGTTAATAAGCTGTTGTTATAGGCCTCCAACTGGAAGAACTGAAGACCTCAGCAATTTTTTACAAAAGAAAATTCTAGAAAAAACTAATCTCGTAAATAAAAACAATTACTTGATTGGCGATTTTAATTTAGATTGTTTTGATTATAACGAAAATCAAAATATTAGAAAATTTTACAACAATTTATTTGAAACAGGAACAATACCAATAATAAATCGACCAACAAGAATTACAAATTATTCATCCACTTTAATTGATAATATCTTAACTACTGACTTTTTTAATATATCGCTTAAAAAAGGAATAATTAAAACAGATGTATCTGATCATTTTCCTATATTTTTTTCAGTAAATCTAGACTTAAAAAAAGAAATGCAAAAAAGTGTCACCATAAAAAAAAGGTTGTTCAACAACATTAATTTAAACTCCTTCAAAGAACATTTGTTGCTAATAAATTGGGAACATTTAAACTTTAATAATAATATAAACACAATTTACAACACTTTTTTTAAAACATTTTATAAAGTCTATGATACAAATTTTCCTATGTGTGAAACAGTTGTAAAAACAAAAGACATATCATGTCCCTGGATTACAAAAGGTCTTAAAAAATCCTCGAAAATAAAACAAAAGCTATATATTAAATATTTAAAATCAAAATCAGTAAAACATAAAAATAACTATATCACCTATAAAAACTTATATGAAAAACTTCGCAAAAATGCAAAAAAAAAAAATACTACTCCTACTTGATCAATAAACATAAAAATAATTCGAAACAAATCTGGAAAATAATGAAAGAAATTACAGGAAAACTTAAAACAAATACAAATTCTCTGCCACATGAAATAAAAATTGACAACAAACTAATTAACGACTCAAACTATATTGCAGCTGAATTTAACAAATTTTTTAAAACAATTGGAACTAAACTAGCAAACAGTATTCCGTATACCGACGATAAATCAGCTGATTTCCAAACATCAACTTCATCAAGTTTTCACTTTACTGAGCTAACTTATGATGAATTTGAAATTGCCTTTAGTTCATTAAAAAGAAATAAAACAACTGGGTATGATGATATTAATGTGAATATTATAATAGACTTTTGTGATGTTATAAAACACATTATTTTAAAAATCTTTCGAGCATCCATCAGTCAAGGAATGTTTCCAGATTGTCTAAAAATAGCTAAAGTATTTCCTGTCTTCAAGACAGGAGATCATACAAACATAAATAGTTATCGCCCTATTTCAGTTCTTTCAGTCTTTTCAAATATACTAGAAAAAATAATGTTCAATCGAATTTACGACCATCTAATTAATAATAAAATCTTATACGAAAACCAATTTGGTTTTAAAAAAAACAATTCAACAGAACACGCTATTCTCCAACTTACGCGCGATCTCAGAATCTTTTAAAAAATCTCATTTCACATTAGGAGTATTTATTGACTTATCTAAAGCTTTTGATACCGTCAACCATCAAATTCTAATAAAAAATTATTATCATATGGAATAAAAGATAACACCCTCAATTGGTTAAAAAGCTATCTTACAAATCGTAAGCAATATGTTTATAATAAAGAATCCTCGTGTGTGTTAATGAATGTAACGTGTGGTGTTCCACAAGGCTCCATACTTGGACCTCTTCTCTTTATAATATATCTAAATGATCTTCATAAAACTTCAAGCCTAACAAAAATAATCTTTGCAGACGACACAAATTTATTTCTATCTCATGAAAATATTAATATTCTTTTCAACAACATGACAAATGAATTAAAAAAAGTTTCTGATTGGTTTAAAATAAATAGGTTATCTCTCAACACAGCTAAAACTAAATGGACACTTTTTTATCCACTCCATAAAAAACATAGAATACCTCATTTGTTACCCGAACTATATATTGACAATGTAATGATAAAAAGAGAAAAATTAGCAAAGTTTCTAGGAATCTATATAGATGAAAATTTAACTTGAAAACATCACACTAACATTATCTCTTCTAGAGTTTCCAAATGCATCGGTATTCTTTATAAAGCTAGAAACATACTAAATAAACGGCAGCTGACTCAACTGTACTATTCATTTGTTCACTGTCATATAAACTATGCAAATATTATATGGGGAAGCACTCAAAAGACAAAACTTAAAACTCTTTTTAATCATCAGAAACACGCAGCTCGCGCAATTAATTTTAAAAATTGTCTTACTCACTCTGCGCCACTTTTTAAAGATATGAAAGCTTTGAATGTTTATCAACTTAATATTTTTAATATTTTATGCTTTATGTTCAAGTGTAAAGAAAATTTATCTCCACAGGTATTTCAATATCTTTATTCTTTAAAACCGAAAAACAAATATAATTTACGAATTGACAACAATCTTAATGCTCCTTTTTGCAAAACTAAATACGACGAATTTTGTATGTCCTATCGTGGACCTCTTCTTTGGAACAAAAGAAGAGGTCCACGAGTTTTACCTAATTTTGACTTTTCAATCAAACTAAACTACTCCTCATTCAAAACCAAAATTAAAGAAATTATCTTTTCAATTGAAAACATCTTTATCTATTTTTGAGTTTTTATCAATTTATTGCTGATATATTATACTTTATTGTATTGTGTTTTACTATTTACGAATATTTCAATGAGTTCTTTGCAAACTTATGTATTTAATGGTTTTTATTTTATTACTTTTTATTACTGTGTTTTGTTAAACTTCATATTATCTTTGTTATTTTACGAATTTTTATAACTTCATTATAATATTACGTATTTATATTATATTATACTCGATACTAAAATGCATTGTAAAGGGCTTCATGATAAGATCCTCATGATCTTCTTGAAGTCCTGCCACTAAATTTGTAATATGTTAATATTTGTATTATTAAAAAAATTATTTGGCAAAAAAAAAAAAAAAAAAAAAAAAAATCATTGTTAAATGGTACAAATTGCTTTCGGTTAGATAGATAACTTTTAAACCATTTTAAAATTTTTTATTCTGTAGTATTTGATTTTATAAATTAAAATATGGTGATCGACCGTATCAAAAGCTTTTAATAGGTCAATAAAAATTCCTAGTGTATATTGTGATTTTTCGAAAGATTTTGAGATTTTACGTACAAATTGGATGATTGCGTGTTCAGTTGAGTATTTTTTCTTGAAACCAAATTGATTGATGTCAAGTAGATCATGAAAATATTTGTATATTTGTTAAACATAATTTTTTCTAAAATTTTTGAAAATGTGGAGAGATAGGGCGATAATTACTGATTTCAGATTTGTCCCCTTCTTTAAAAATAGGAATAATTTTTGCAATTTTTAATTGTTCTGGGAATACTCCTTGATGGATAGAAGCCCTAAAGAACAACCTTAAGTTGTTCAAAGCAATCTAAAACCACGTTTCCATTAATTTGATCTGCTCCAATTGCTTTATCTTTTTAACAGATTTAAAGGCTCTTTCAAACTTATCAAACATTAATTCGGAAGATAACTCATCTGAACAAATGTAATTATCCAGGATATTTTAGATTATTTCTGCGCAAAAGAATGAATTAATAAAAAATTCTGCGCAAAATGAATTAATAGATCTGATGGATAAAAAATGAAGGCGAAAATCATACAGCGCGCAAAAAAAATGAAATATCATTCCATTATAGCTGACTGTACTCCGGACATTGGTCAAGTAAAGTAATGAGTAAAAAATTCCACAATAACCTTCATTGTCAATACAACGGTGAATTTTAATAGTGTTTTGACAAAAATGCAACTTAGATCATCTGTTTAATAGACGTTTTTGGCCGATTTAGCCTATTGATCCAAAATTATCTGGAAGTATCCATAGGTTGCAGATTTTATTGATATTTACGATAATTAGCTGTTGCACTATGACGTTGATAAAAATTGTTTTCTTCAACAGTTTATTATTCAAAGTAGCAAATTATAGTATCAAAACTGTATTGAAAAATATTTCAAACATGGAGCTCAATTTTTATTAAGCAGAAAAGGCATCGAAGCGCTGAATAAAGTTTAGACTTTGGCTGCAAAACATACATACATCGAGGCGCTGAATGATGTTTGAACTTTTGCTACAAAACCCTATGGATGCGGCTGTTATAGCATTAGAATCAAGTGTACTTGACAACACGGAGATGCCACAGAAATAATTTATGTTAATCATGATGAATTTATCATGATTTACAAGTTCCATACTTTGCTACGACTGACCAGGTAACTACTTCTCTCATACTAAAGCTGGTGGTAGTAGTCAAAAGAATCATCTCTACTAGCTTTACTATTAAGTTCTGAATTATGTAATACAGAGCATGATAAAAAAATTCAACTAGATTTTTAAATCCTTTACCCCCAAATTAATTTTAAACATTTTTGTTGGCTTGTGTTATAATTGTAAAACCGTGCGTATATTTACAAAGACCACTGAAGCTAAAGGTCAAAATTTGATTAGATATCCGCAAGAATAACTAAATTACTTTCAAATATTTTACTTTCACATATTTTTGATGTATTGAAACTATTATTTAGTTCGAAATAAAAATTGTTAACTGCTTGTTTTTAAAGAAGTTGTCTACTTTCAGATTTAAATTACATTATTCATTTACTTAGAATGAACGTATAGTAATAATCCAAAAAATCATATACAAGACAGTATTTAATGCAATACGTTTTACTAGATTCAGGATAATCTATAGATTAGCATAAAGTTAATAGTGCTTTGAATTAAAAAAAACAAACAAAAACAAATGAGAAAAACAAATTTAGAAATTTACAATATCAATACTATAATCGATCGGGTATATTAGTAAAACTTTTTAAAGGACTTTTATTTATTTTTCAAAAAAAAAAAAAATTGAATTCGTTTTTACCATTTAAATTTACTCATCGATTCAAATTAAAAAATCAATAATTTTACCCTACTTGATTCTTATAAAAAGTGCTTACATAAAATCTTTACAAATTTTTTGAGCACAGTAAAATAGTTTTTTTTTTAGCAAAAACTGAAAGCGTTAACCATAGCAACAGCAATCGATGCATATTTACTAAACACTTTAAACGGATAATTAATGGTGTTCTTTCTTTTTAAACCTTAAGCCACAATAGCCACACGCGTGAGCTCCAGGTTTGTCCTATGTAAAAGCATGCCGATTAGATTATAATAAACTATCAAAATGTTAAAAATTATAAAAAATAACGAGGCGACTCACCAAGTTGATGAACACCTTTGGATGTCCCAATGCACCGCCTCCTACAAAATAGTTCAATATCTCTCAAAATAGTAAAAATAATTTTTCGTTTGATTCCTATTATATAATCTATAATATATATTAAGATTTAGAATAAATCTTTAACTGAAATATTCATTTTGTTTGGTTAACATTTTTATTAACACGGATCCCTATTAAGCAAATAATTAAAAAAAGCTAATTCAAAAGCAACACTAACTCAAGCAGCCTAACACTACCAAGTTAAAAAGTGAAAATTAAATAAATTTTTTTTTACTTTTAAAAAAATTTTTTTTTTCTTTCTTATATAGAATCAAAGGGTCAAGGTAACTATATCAGTTGTAGCTATGTTTAATAACATCTGCCCAACAGCATCTGTAAATATAATGATGTATAACTACATCCGTTCAACAACATCTACAAATACACTGAGGCGTATTAACACCTGTTCAATAACACCTGAAATTTCATTGAAGTCTAATAACCTCTGTGCAAAAAGTATATGATTACTACAAATGTTACATCTTTTCAATTATTTAAGAACAACAACATCTGTGAATTCTATAGATGTAGTTACATCTTTTAAATTATATTAAATATAACGATAAGATTTTATGAAACTATTAAATTATATTGCATTATTTTAACCAAATGAAGTTTCATATTTTTTCAGATGTAGTTACACCTGGAAAATATAATAAATATAAATGCATTACTTTAACCAGATGTAGTTACATATAAAATATTTTTTAGATGTAATTACATCTGGAGGAAATTCTTCCATATGTTATTGGACTTAGAGAGAAACTACCAGATGTAGCTACATCTTCCTAACAATGACTAATGTTGCTAGAGAGTTATACTAAGAAATTACCAGTTGTAGTCACATCTTCTTAACAATGACTCCTAACAAAATCTTGATGTTGTTAGAGGTCATTGTTATGACTTGGGGTCATTGAATTTTCAGATGATATTGGATAGATAGGAAATGTAGATTATTCTGATAACAATAGAAGACACTAAACTCAACAAAGATTTAGGTTTGTACTTGAGGTTGGGTGATTTGTGAGTTGTAACAGCTACTTTTTGAAAAAGGATTTAATAGTAATGGTGTCTACCACTGCTTTCAAAATACTACCACAACTTATTTAAACGAGTTACGGTGTCGAACATACTAAACTTACCGCTTAAAGTCAAGAATTAGGATATGAAAAACATATTGACTCATTATTAAAAACCACCTAGTTGCAATAATTGAATAACCTGTTAAACATTCAGAGCAAGAAAACAAACTTAAAACTTCCTTGAAAACTTTTTACTTTATTTTATTTAAAACTTGATAATTTGTTTTATTTGTTTTTATATTACATATATTTCTCATTACTAATAAAAAAAATCGAAAAATGTTTCAAACTTTTAAAAACCTTTTTTGATCAATCACTAAAGCACAAGTTGATTAGTAAAGTGCAATAAATAGTTTATCTTTAAAAAGAAATTGTTGATTCTGTTTAATAAGCGTGTTATTATACAGAATTGAAATATGTTATTATGACTCTAGGAAATAATGGAGTACACGAACTTCAATAAAAAAAAAGATTTCTCTTTAGATAAACTCTTTTCAATTTTAATAAGAATAATTACGATCAATCTTATTTTTTCATGAATTTTCTTAATCTGAATACAAAATGTGTTACCAATTAGTTGTCAATTTAAATGATTTTTTTTTCATTCACATACATTAATCATTTAAAATTTTTCATCACAAAGAAAGTAGATTTAATCTAAACTTTAATTTAACAGAGTGACACAATCAATATTCTTGAAAGTATTTTAATTTTATTTTTTTGGACAACTATTAGTGCAAAACTCTGATTTCAATAGTTTCTAGGAAAATAAAATTAAAAAAAGTAGTGAAAACTAATGGAGAAAGGTTTTTTTTCAACACATCGCTAAACTTCTTGCTTTAACTAAAAAATCGGTTTAACTAAAAAGAAGTTCAAACCATGGTCTAACTCACATACTAACACATGGTCTAACTCACATACTAACAGAAATTTGAACCATGTCCTAATCGATTTAACTATCTAAAATTAATTATTTAATTTTTTAACAGTTCTACTATCATTAATGAATAATATAAAAATATAACATAATAAAATGAAATATAGAAAAATTATTATGAAAAAACACATACCACCATCACAAGAAATTACTCTTTGCGAAACTTCTTTAGGTGGTATCTCATCTATAAGTTTGGCAGCAATATTATCATTCACCTGAAATACACAATAATATATTTAACATAAAATAATATATTTATAAATCACGCAGGTCTGTATTATTAAACAAGTGTAACATTATATTATAAACTTTTACAGCAAATTTGAATTGCACAGTATAAATATAGTTTACTTGAACTTTAAAATGCCAATTTTAATCCAGACATTTGTGTGCGTATATTAGGTATTTATTTTTTTATTATTTACCCCTTGTTTCCTGTATTTAAATAGAGAGACTTATGTTTGAAATATTTAAAAAACCATTGGTTTATTAAAAAAAAATAATTAGTTTTATTTATTTTATAAACACATAATTTAAAAGTAATATATTATAAATTTATTTTTTAGCAAGTATTGAATACAGTAGTAAACCATCATCAAATGATAACAGAGAACCATCAAGATCATAGATAACTTGATATGCATTTTTTTTTTTTGTATTAATCATAACCTGTACTAAATAAAATAGAAGGGGTTAAATAATTGGGACTTTTTGTAAAGAGCATTATTTTAGGCTAAATTAATGGCTTAACACCCATGGTTGACATTTAGACTAGACTCTGTAATAATAACTATTGCTGCCTTGATTAAAGTTTCTTTTTATTGGCTTTAATGACTTTCTCTCCTTAGAGTTGAATGATCAACTTTTATAATTTTTTGTTGGTAGATTAACATAAGGACAAATTTGCATGACAATATTTTACAAAAGTAATTGGTTTGTACTACCACAGACCTCGTAACTGTTAATTTTCTATTAAAGTATTTATAAAAATCGAAATAGAATTGTGATCTTGTCCATCTTCTGACTCTGAAGCTGCAGTTGATTTTAGTGATTTTGATGGTTATTTCTGCTCATTTTAGTTTCACGACAATTAACTACATCCCCAGCACAAGACACAAATAGGTAAATAATTATTGTAATACAATCATTGTTCTCATTGATCATTTGATAGCAACTGTCACTCTTTATAACAAACAAACTATGTTCCATCATGATTAAACATGCGAGAAGTATCTACTAATTTTTTAAGTAAGCTATCTATTAACCTCACCCACAAAAAACTCTATTTTTTACAGCTCTTCATTATTATTATAATTTTAAATAATTAGGTTAGTTAATTTAGTTGAATTTTATGAACCAATCTAGTGCAATTAAACTTGGGTACTTCCCAAATCTCGACTAAGAATGTGAAATCTTGACCAAAAATGTGATATTTTTGTATGTTTTGCTTTTAATACATTAGGTGATAGTTTACAATATAAAAATAGATAAAATTTTTTACAAACATGCAGGTTTTGTTTTAAAGCAGTATGCTGTAAAGATTTTTTGTACACAGTACAAAAAATTTTGAGTATTTTATTTTTTCAGTATTTTAGTTTTGCTAAAATTATTTTATCAGAAAAAGCTAAATGGTTAAAAAAAAAAGGTTTCCACAAATGTATAAATTTTTAACATTTTTTAGTGCTGATATTTAATAAGAATTGTTAAAATTAAATTGTTATTTAAAATTGTTAAAAAGAGTTTAAGGTTAGCAATTTATTGTCGACTGATATTATTTTTGGTTGGCATCAGGTCATCACAAAATTTACCATAACAACATAGAAATAATTTTACCATAACATAGAAATGAGGTTGGTAAAAATTTGCTGACATAAGATTTGACTTTTATACCAGCCCTTGGATATAGGATTTCCAAGGGCTGTGATTTTATCATCTAATTTTTAAAATCAATATTCTATATTGAATTGGAAAATATTTTGAAAGCAAAAGTCAGAAAAGTTATTAAAATGTTAACAACTTATTAAAAAATAAAAACATTTTTTACTACTACTACTAATAATAAAAAAATGAACAAAGTGTTTTTTTTTAAACAAATAGCTTTTTGAAAGAAAATCTAATTTATTCATATCATTAAGATTCAAAACCAAATTTTTATTTACTTACTAGTAACAGTATAATAAGCACGATAAACATGATAAGATAAATTTTTAAAAATCAGCAAAATACGAAAACTCTCTGAAACATTTACACTAAGAGCACAAGCGCTTCATAGAGTTTTAAATAATTTAATCTTTTTTTTTTAAATATGTACTCCATCCTACTTAATTGTAGGAGGGGGGTAGGGGCCGGATCGAGGAGATTTTTTTCCAAAATCTCTGATTTTGGAAAAAAAAATCTCCTCAATTTCAATTGATTACTACCCCTTAACAAAAAATTTTTTTCACATTGGTGTAGGAACAAGGAGTTCCTACACCAACGTTTAACATCTTCAATCTTGAGAAAGAGTTCTTAAATAAGCTTTAAATCTTAATTAACTGAGAGTGGACTTTTAGGACCTACATCCTTGTATGACTTGGAGCGCCATGTTCACAGTGAGAATCATAAAAACCTAATTAAAGTATCAGTGTCATTAAATAAGTTGACCTCTTTTTTTCAGCCTAAAAACTCAAAGGTGTGGCAGAAAGCCATGTGGTTGCTTATAAATAATGAATGAGCAAAAATTAATTTTTTTTCAAAAACTTGAAAGACAAAAAACTAAAAGATAAGTTACAACTTTTAACCCCTAATTTAATGACCATATTCCAACTAACGCTAATTTGAATCTCTACCACCCCAACAACAATTTACAACACCCCAATCTATAATTTTTTACTGTTGTGACTACTCCCTTTACTATTTGACTCCTTCTCTAAAATGAGATAGAGAGTAAAAAAAAAAAAAGAAAAAAAGAATAAAGCACAAACACTTCGAAGAATTTTCATAAGAATAGCTTTTTAAATTTTATTAACTCATTTAAACATAAAAATACAGAACAAAAATAGTTAATGCTAATATCTAATTTCTTTCTAGCTTACTAGGCATTAAAAATTTTTGAAGATATACATACCAGCTTTATGCCATCTATAAAACGAACTTTCTTCCAATCATCTTCATCATATTTCTAAAAAAACATAACATAATTTTTTAAATTTTACATATTTTTATAGTTTGTAAAAATATTTTAGTTTATTCTTGGTAAAGAGTAAAGTATCTGCATTTGTATAGAGTAGTATCTGCATTTTAACTTAAATATAGATTTTATTATAAAATATAAAATAGCTCCTGCAATAACCATATTTTTGGTTAGATTAATACTCCATTAAAACTCGATACAAAATTAAAATTACCTCCTACTAAATCTTTGATCTTGCAGGAGGCATTTTAAAAAATACAAATACAAAATTAAAATTACCTCCTACTAAAATATACAAATACAAAATTAAAATTACCTCCTACCAGGGCCTTTGAGAGCGTCATTGGCGCCCGGGTTAAAAATGAAAAGCGACGCCCTTAATTCAAACTAGTTGAAGAAATTAAAATTTTTAAAGTTTTGTGAACGCAGCAGTTATTTTTTTTCTAATACAGCACATTGTACTTTTACGTTACCATTAATTTTCTGGATTGAGAAAACGTTTTTTGACATCTTTAAACAGATGTCAAAAAACAATAAAAACATTAGCTTTAACAGTTTTAAAGCTAATGTTTTTATCAAAACATTAGCTTTAAAACTATTAAATAATTAATCAACGAAACCTTTAAGAAAGGTAAACAAGGCGCTTAAAAAAAAACCTTTTGAGTTTTTACGGTCGCCCAAATAATGATGACATTGTCGTAGCTAACCCTTTTAGCCAAAATCTTCTTTAATCAAAATAATCAAATACCAGTAACACAATTCTGGACCATGGTCAAAGGAAAGAGTTTTTTACAATTTTTAGTTTACTAAACGATTGTTCCGCTTTAGCAACTGACTTAATAATATTGTTGAAAATCCTGAAAATTATACAACTGTATGGAAAAAAAGCGTTCAAGCTTCTGTTAAAAGATTAGATGGTATATTGCGGAAATTGTTAAAATGGCAAACTTCTTTAATGAGAATCTTTTTGGTTACGTCTCTCAGATAAAACCGCGCAAGTTCTCATACTTTATTTTAAATAGAAAGATTATCATTATCCAACCAGACAAATAAAAACATATTGCCAACCATCCTTCTCGTCTCAAATCTTGAATCAATATGCTGGATCAGGCAATCTAAATCAACATTAAAAACATTCACTTTAAGTTCTTTTGTTTATAAGTTAAAGCACCTTTATGCCTCATCATAAAGGTGCTTTAACTTACGGTTTCCTTTTGTAGCGAATTCAGCTTCCAATCCTACCGAGTCAGCTACAATTACAGCCTCTTAAAATTTGCAACCAAGTGTCCGTAATCTGTTTATGATTTTTTTTGCTTCAAAGTCAAATACTACCTAATAGAGTAGCGCTTTTATCGTGAAATCGATAATAAATGTCTTTTGTGTTTGTTTTTTTGCAAGAAGTTGAAGCGAGCCCATGGAACGCATTACCAAACGAAGTTTTCAGTTCAATTAGTGTTGACTGCTTCTAAGCAATATTTGATCAGTTACCATTATAATTACCACATTGCATCATCTTCCAAACAACCAAGCATGAGCTAACATTGCTAACTGTTTACAGGCTTACGGAATATGCCCGCTTCCGTCTAATTCTACTTCAATAGTTTTTTTTTTCGTAAAAAATAGTTTATAATTAATTATAATAACAGAATTTAAATTTAAAATTTTTTTTTTTATGAGCATTTTTATTCCGAATACTAAAGTTTTAATCTCAAGTACAAAAACTAAGCAGATTTCAAACTGTCAGTCATTAAAATATTTTATATTTAATGTAAAAAAAACAAAACAATAAAAATAAATAAATAAAAAACCAACGAATTGCCCGGCGCCCCTTAAAGCTTGGTGCCCGGGTCAATTTGCCCCCTTTGCCCCTCCCTCTCAAAGGCCCTGCCTCCTACTAAATCTTTGATCTTGCAGGAGGCATTTTAAAAGCTTAATATAATAAGCTTTGTATAATAGGTTTGTTCCACTAATATTATGGTTTCAGTCCGCCATACAGCTCTGAAAGTACAGCGCTTGACCTGTTTCTCTGCACAGTGCCTTGTTTAACAAGGTTTGTGTTTTGAATTTTTACAAAAACTGCACTTTATATAAAAAAAAACCACTTACCAAGACTAAAGGAAATACAGTCGAAAAGGCTTCTAATTTTATTTTTCCTATTCTGGCACTTTTTTCTATAACTTTAAACTCGATATAGAAGACTACTACACAAAGAAACAAGTAAAGTACAGAACTAACATAGATGTGATAGATAAGGTTAAAAAAGTATAAGGCAACAACCTATTATAAAAAGTTGCACTTGAAAAAACAGGTATCACTTATATCAAAAAAATAATCTGCTAAACTATGTTTGAATTTTGCAATACTCTTTTAATCACTTAAGTTATTAAAACAAAAATTCATATTGACTAAAACAAGATTGATAACCTTCTAAATAATTGCTGTGATTAAAATTAAAAGCTTGAACCTTTAAAGGTAGAACACTTTTTTTTCTACAATTTAAAAAAACTAATGGCATTGTTGAAATTTTTTTTTGGTGAAAAATATATATTACAAAAAGTAAAATAAATTCATACAAAGTTAATTTTATTGTTTTAAATTTGTTACTTTAAGTTTTGATTTAATTTAATTAAAAAACTTTGGCAAAATTTTTACTAACATAAACTCAAAATTTATAAAAATATAAATTTCTAAAGTTTTTATTTTAGTTATAAAGTTACAGTTTAAACAAATTAAAAAAATTAAAATACTCTAAAATATTGCTTTCAATATTTTAGAATATTTCAATTTTTTCAATTGTTATTCAACAAAAAAAAAAAGAAAAAAAAAAAAAAGTTATTTAACAAAACACATTATTTCTACCTGTCCAGTGTGAGTCACTTTTTCAACAGATGCATATGTATTACGCAGATATTTTAAAGGCACTTGCAAATTTCCTGAAGTAAAACACCTCAGTCCTGTACGGAAAAGAGCCATATTTTATTTTGTTTTTGCGTGCGTTTTGCGTGTTTTTCAATATATTTTCCAACTTTTTTTTTTTTTTAACTTTAACATTTACAAAATGACACATAATAAAAACAATCTAAATAAGTCATTTTCTAAACCAATATCATTAATGTGGTAGTGTCCAAATGGAGTTTGTGAGTGAATTTATAACTGTTTTGTACCTTTCACCATTCTTTACGAATGGTGAAAGGTACAATTTACATTCGTCTCCGAGTCCACAAATCTTTGGATTTGTTTTTTTATTTTTTATTTTTTTATTTTATTTGTCCTAAAAATCAATGGGGTGAATGTAACGCGTTCAACCTCTAGAACTCGTTCTAAATCAGGTTTTTTCGCTACGTTTGTGTCTACGAAATATCTGTTTTGTTGGTTGTTTTTAAAAACAACCAACAACGTAACGTACGTAAATTCCAAGTCTTCCAAAAATTTTTGGAAGACTTGGAATTTACGTACGTTACTCTAACATCGAAAAATGCAGTTTCTCCTTTCCTTCAAAACCCTTTTGCTTTCATATCTAGTCTAGCTTCGTCGCTTGCATTGGCAGTTTTTAGATGGAACCTTTCATTTTTCAACGGAATTAAATGCGGCTCCGCTTGAATATTAGTTAGGCAAACAGTTAAAAAGCCTCTTATATTTGTCTTATATTGTCTGTTGCACACAAAGCCACCATTTTTGCATGACATTGCGTGTAGCTCGTCAAATTACTCAAATTAAATATATTTTATAAAAATAAAATCAAATATCTTTTTTAAACTCATATTTTTTGAATTTTGAACAAAATAAAAATTGTTGTTGTTGTAAAAAAAGCTATTTTTCGGAATGGGGACTAAGGAGTTTTTCAGTTTTCTTTTAATTCAGTAAATTTAAAAAGTGCTTTAAAAAATTATTTTTTGACTGATAACATTAACGAATTTTTTTTCAATTTTTATTATATTAATTTTTATTATAGAGAAAACACTAACAATGTGGTTGCGATAATATCAGAGGAGAACAAGCCAATAAACTATCTATGGGCTTATATTCTGTAAATAACGCCAAAAAAAAGTTAAGAAAAAAAAATAGTCTAGTTACTAACCATTAATTGACACGCAAGTTAAATAATTGGCTTTCCATCACCTTTGAGTACAAAAATTTTTTAATTTAGTGAAAAAATTTAAATGTTTGGTAAATAATTCTAGGGAAAAAATCTTATTTTTTTACATTAGATAACATTGGTTAGAAACCTCTCTTAATTGGAATTTTAGAGATGTCCCGCTTCTCCGGACAGTAGTAATTTTCCAAGGTCATTTTAAAGCTTGTGAAGCGAGATTCTGCTCTAAAATGGCAGAATTTTCTATCCAGCGGGATGGCAGTTAAAGAATAAAATTCTAAACTATTTATTCCAACAAACAATCAAAGTTGTACTTAAAAAATTTAAAATTGATAAAGGAAAGCAAAAAAAAAAAAAACTTTCATAGGCTGACGATTAATATTGTATCTAAAGTAGCATTATAAATACACTTTTTAGAAAATTTTACTGTAAGTGCAGCAACGACATCCTGCTTTAATTTATTTGACGGTTTACAATGCAGTTTTGACGCTCTGGATGTTCTTTGATTTGTTGAGGTTTTAAACAACCTTTTTTTTTTTTTGAAAAAAATTATATGCTTAGTTCAATAAGAAATGCTATGCTTTTGGAACTCTAATCTATTGTAATTGATTCGCTATCTTGAACTGGTGAATGAGGTCACTACAGATTCTGCGTTCTTCAATTGTAGTTAAGCCGAGTATTTTTTTATTTGTCTTTGATTGCAAACAAAATGTTTACTTAAAAATAATGGGCAGGCATTCTTAACAATAAATTGTTAGGCACGTTTAAAAAAGAAAACTTTTGATTTGAGTTGGGGAGACCAGGTTTGGACATGTAACTCTAGACTTGATTTGACGAATAGTTGGTACTGTTTTTTTCAGAGCTGGAGACACTGGTTTAAAAATAAATTCTTAAAACAATCAAGAATTCGATTATCAGCCCAAAATTCTGTTTCTACTTATGTTTGACTTTTAGGTTGTCGAATTTTTTAAAATGCACCAAGTTGCGCTCAATGCATGTTGGAGCAAAATTGCACTTATTACAATCAATGTTAGTCATGGTTTAGATAAGGGATGATTTTTTTTGCAACAACTAAAATGCATTTCTGGGCATTTCTTGACGTTGAAAAACATGAGCATGTTGTTCAAATCCATGTTGAAACTTTGAAATTAAATTATGCAGTGCACAGTGTTTCGTAATCTTTTTTTTTGATTACTCTTTTCATCAGAGAGAATAATCTATGAAAAGATTATGATCATGTAGTCTCTCACCTCTATACCTTGCGCAGTGTAGAGGTGAGTAAAATTATTTACTCAGTTTTGTACACGAAGATGTCGAAAAAATCACGAAAACACACGAAGATGTCGAAAAAACCACGAAAACACACGAAGATGTCGAAAAAATCACGAAAACACACGAAGATGTCGAAAAAATCTTGATCTGAGTCTTCTTAAAATCATGAAAAATAAAAATCATTTATTTCAGCTAAATTCAGACAACGGGCGACAAAAAGAGTTTAGAAGGGTAATGAGTTCTTCAGTAAAACTAAAGCTTGCACCCCAATTAAAATTCTAGCTTTATTTTAGCCATTGCTGTAACATTGGCTACGACATTTTTTCAAGTCAAGTCTTACTTTTATGGACACTTTGCAAATAAGATTAGAAATACTCACCGTTTCTGTCTATGTCTTTGACACATAGTAAGCGTTTTTTTTACCTTTTCATGTTGAAGTTAATATACTAAAAAAATCATAAATTACATTTTGCAGCTGTGCTGCAGTGGTTAGAGTTTTAGTTCCAAACCAAGAGGTTCGTTGTTCGAGTTACTTTTTCAAGATTATTTGGTTAAAATCTTCATTAAGATTTTTTATTGCACCATCACGTGACCATCACAGCAATAACAAATCTTCTGATCGTAGTACCAATAAATGTCTAAAAGAATGCATTTAATAGCAGTATGGAAGTTAATTGATGGATTGCTTACATCTGCTCATACTTGCACCAGCTTATACATGCAAAATCGACCTTTCTTTGCTTTTTATTTTTACACAGACAAAATCGATCTTTCTTCGCTTCTTATTTTTACCTGTGCAATCCTACAACACAGGTCAAAGAGATGTTTTTTTATATTGTACATTATATAATAGACAGATAATTTATGATAACATGATTAGAGTGTGTTTAAAATTGATGTAACTGTTTTTACGGTCACATGATCCACTTATCTAAAAGCTATAACAGTTCAGATTGCTCCTTATGTAGATAGATTATGGTTTAAACATCATGATCATGGTTTAGAAATCATGATCGTGGTTCAAACATCATAATCATGGTCTAAACATCATGATCATGGTATAAACATTATGATCATGGTTTAAACGTCATGATCACGGTTTAAATAATTATTATATATATCTTCTACAGGCTGTTCCTGCAGAATATATCTAAGGCGATTGGTCAATTTATGATAAGAGCAAATATGACATTTTGCAGGAGAAAAGTTTGAAAATTTGATTTGTTGCCATACATCGAATAATAATGAAAAATAAATTACTTTTGTATAGGAAATCATAGTTTAAAAAGTGAAAGATCTAACGAAATATAACAAAACTAAATACTTATCTCAAAATGACCAATTTTGCACTTATCATTATTTGAACAATGGCCACAGATAAACATAAAAACACTTTAATTTGCTTGTCTGTTTCAAAACTAGTTTAATTACATATAGAGTTTCTTGAAAAAAAAAAAATCATTAATAAAAATAGAATTCTTTGGTAATTTATACTTATACGTAATTAATATAAAGAATCTTTTTTTACTTTTTAGTTATTAAAATCATCTTAAATTAGATTAAAAAGTCAACTAAATATTACACAGATTTGGTTGATAAAATATTACACAGATTTGGTTGATAAATGCAAACCCACGGCTATATGCACACGAGATTTCAAAAGAAATTTTTATTGAGAAAAAAGTAAGTGACCGAACAGTTAGAAAAAGGCTTTTGGTTGATTTCAAAATGAAGGCATGCAAGCCAGCAAAAAAACCTTTTTTATCATTAAAAAACCTAAAAGATCGAAAAACATTTTGTCAGCGCTACAAAAATTGGACTGGAGAAAATTGGTCTAAAGTTCTTTTTTCTGATGAAACATGTATTAAAAAATTTAATGTTACAAACAACTTTGTAAAAAGACCAAAAAACTGTAGATATATGCCAAAATATACAGTTAGCAGTGTCAAGGTTCCTGTGTCTTGTATGATTTGGGGTGCTATTTCTGCCAAAGGACGTGGGCCATTATGGATAATGCCCAAGAATACCACAATAAACAGCAAAGTCTATTTGGATGTTATAAAGGAGAAGTTGCCACCTTTCATGCAGATCTTGAACTGCACTTATTTCCAACAGGATGATGCACCGTGCCACACAGCCAAAATTGTAAGTGGTTTGCTGATGCTTGAAGTGGTTTGCTGATAAAGGAATAAAAACCCTTGAAAATTGGCCTGGGTCATCACCAGATCTTAATGTTATTGAAAACTGTTGGCATATTATGAAAGTAAAAGTTGCTGCCAAAAAGCCTAGATCCTATAATGATTTAGTTGAAGCAATCAAATCAGTGTGGATCCATGAAATTACACCAGACTATTGTACAAAACTTGTTAACAGCATGCCAAAACGTATCCAAATGGTAATTGACAATAACTATGCTTCAATTAAATATTGAACTTTTATCATGTATGCATGTACCTGTCATCTTTAAAATTGTTATAAACACTTATTTTATTAAAGAAAATATAAAAATTTACTAATAAATTGTTTTTCACACAAATATATTGACTTCATAACATAAAATATGATGTTCCAGGACTTTTGGCCACCACTGTATATATATATATATATATAATATATATATATATATATATATATATATATATATATACATATAT